TTTTATTGGGGCTACTAATCGAATATCTTTAACTTGTAACAAAATTTTCTTATTTATGCTTTTACAAATATTTTAATTAAAAGTGTAATTCTTTAGCAAAAAATTAATTTCTAAACCTTTTTTTACTTCTAAAATGACCTAATTTTTTTAGGTCTAAAATGAACTAAAAAGAAATCTAATTATTCTAAAACATTTATTTACGTCGACGTTTCAATCAATCAGTCTATGTGTACAGAAAATATTTTACAGAAATTGTACCGAATACACACAATACTAGGATCCCATTATTTTTAACAATATTTAATTCACGTGGATCCCGCCTTCTCATGTGAGAGAAATTTAAAAATCTATAAAAATGTTGTCATCTTTCTTCTGTACTTACATCATTTTTCAAAATAGTTTGTATTCTCCAATGACTTCGAAAATAATTTGTATTTTCCAATGATTTCGAGATTTGAGAGGTACTTATAGAACAGAGTAATTTATAATAGTTGGATACTTAGAAAAAACCATCGTAATTAATGAATGATCAACGAATAATCAAAAAGAAAAAAAAAATTCTACTTTAAATCGATTTTGTGTTTAGTCATTTCTATCGAATTGAGAAGTGTTGTTTTCATATTTGATTATCCCTATTAAAATTTTGACACTTATCAACCTCGTACAGTAAATAATAATACGTCATTTCAACAACAATGTCAGCGGTTCTTGCTATTTAGCACTAGTTTGATTTTGATAAAAATTGATAAAATATGCGGTGGAAACTTTGATAAAAATTGCGAGTTCCTTGAAATATATGAAATTTTTACTTAAATTCTTTGTTATAACTTGAAAAATAGGAGCCAAACAGGGACTTAATATTCTGAGATGTATCGAAGGGATGTACGAATGAATGTGAATCCAAAAATTGATAGTAATATGGAATAGTAGAAGTTACGATACTTGAAAACTAAGCTCAATTCTTTTCCTAAGTTTTTTGGTCTATAAATTCTAAATTAGAGTCTATTTTAGCCAAAAGCTTGTGACCCACTTGAGCAACTTGCACTATATTTATTCGTATAGCTGTACACGAAATTGGGGTTTGGAATTGCATAATTAATCGTCAAGTAGAGCTTGTGTTTACACCTTAATAAAATAATATAACGAATGCCGACCCAACACAATTTGCTCCGCTTCACTCTGAGAGAATTTTTGTATCTTAAGTACGACTCACCCCACAATTTGCTCCGCTTCACTCATGGGAGGCGTGTCGATGCTTGAATGATATGTTGACGTCTCGACCAAATTGATGGGAAAATGTTGTAAAACTTTCACTTTGACTAGACATGAGGTAAATAATTGATCAGTAAGGGAATTGAGCTACTGCTCCTGTTAGGTTAACATTTTCGAATAGAAATATTAGAGTTAAGCCCCAAGATGAATCCATTGTTGCAGCTAAACGAAAATATGGACCTTAGTTAAATGCAATGGCCGAAAAATCCGTAGATGGGAAGCCATTGACATGGTGAAGTGTTGATATTGATACAATGTGTGATCCTCTTTAATTTGAGGAAGATGAGGATAAATATTGCTCAAAGGAAACAAGACAATGAGGTACTTCACTCAAAAAAAAAATACCTTTGTGCGATCTTTGGATAGAGCCGACTCAATCTTATAAATGGAAAATCTTTGAATTCATTTTTTCATTTCATTCGAAAAAAGCAACTACAGGTTTTCTATGTTCGCATCAATATTTTCGTCTTCCACATCAAACTTTTTATTAGCGTATTAAATTTAATATAGCCGAACCTAAATAATAAAAATGAAATTCACGTGATTGACTAATATCTTTTTCTTGTAATTACTTAAAAAAGTTACTGTTTCTATTCAATCAAATTCAAACATTAATTTCAACCGCACATTTGAAATTACTATTCATTTATAATCACATATTTCATTGAATTAGTACGATTCTTCTTTAAAAATTACTAATAGCTTTACGCAAACACTTACTTAGAAACAAAAGAAATTAGATGATGAAATCAACACCATGTTTGAGCTCCATTTTTTTTCAAGGATGCATTTTTTCGAAAGTCGTTTCCAACCACACACTCTCATAAAATAATTATACACGTATTTTAAAAAAAAAATCTTACTTTTTAACTATACATTATTAAAAAATCACTATTTCATAATACATTTTACCTCAAAAATGCGAATTAAACGGGTCCAATTCGCAAATTTTATCTGTGGGCCAAGATTATTTCCAGACTATTAATCAATTCAGGCCCAATACACAGCCCACTACAAACTCAGTATAAAATGCTTACCAGACCACTAATCAATTCAGGACCAATGCACAGACCACTAATCAATTCAGGCCCAACGTACAGCCCATTACAAATTCAGTATAAAATGCTCTATCCTAACGTTTCACTCCCACGGAACTAGGGTTTGGAAATCTGTCTCTTCTTCTGCTTGGCGTCGATATCCAAAATGGTACAGTGTCTCTCTCTCAATTTGAATGCTGGACACAGATTGTGATAGGTTGTGTGTTTCATGTGATTTGAAGATCTATTTTACACATAAGGAGAGTAAATAGTAAAACTTTGGTACTAAGGATCTGTTAAAGAGTCGGAAACTTGTTCAATTTTTTATTTTATTTTTTGGTAATATTTCAGAAAATGTAAAGTTAGTAGGAGTGAATTCAGAGGAGGGAACGGGAAAGGAGACTAAATTACCTCAGTTTTCTGTCCCTACTATAGTACAGCTTCTAGTTTTAAAATAAACCTAACAAATGGGGTATTAAATCAAGATAAGAAATGACATGGGTTTCGGATTTTTTGTAAGACTAAGACGTATCAGTATAGCATAAATCAGGAAGCTAAAATATTAATAATGCCAAGCTTTTGTCGTCTCTCATTTTTGCCTATATATTCACAACCTGTATCTATTTTGTTTTGGTAGACATGTGAATATTTGTAGTTTCGCATTTCATTTGCTTCTGATTCCTGTTGATTAATAAGCTACAAATCAAAATGAAATTTCTGAAATTATCCAACAAGTTAAAATCTTATCCTTAATTAATCAGTTATCAGCCAAGATTGGTACTGCAAATGATACACTACACACCGTCACATAACGGGTATCTATGTTCTTGAAAGTTGCGGTTTCTAACTCAATTTAAGTAAGTTCTTCGAACTTGTCCCATTTCACCTTTTCTCCCTGTTTGAAGAACAAACTAGTTATCAATGTAAATGAGCAATAGAAAACTAAAAAATTGTTTGAAATAATCAAAATGCTACTATGTCTTATTACCATTTGTGCCTCTTTTTAGTTTTACGCATGTTTATTTATTCTGGTTTCTGCTCAATTCTGAGATGTTCTGATTTAATAGGAACTTGTAAACAAGGATTTCCTTTTTGCTTCTGTTTTACTAACTTGCTCGTTTTTTAATGATGCTCAGCCTAAGCAGATTCACGAGATTAAGGACTTCCTTCTCACTGCCAGAAGGAAGGATGCACGCTCTGTAAAGATCAAGAGGAGCAAGGATGTTGTGAAGTTCAAGGTCCGGTGCTCAAAGTACCTCTACACCCTCTGCGTCTTTGATCCTGAGAAGGCTGACAAATTGAAGCAATCCCTTCCTCCAGGTCTGTTGATTTATGAACCAAACCTCATTTCCATGCTTGGTTGAACTGATTATAATATATTATATTTCATCTTAGAATACATGTAAGATCCTGAATTTATGTTGAGATTAGACGGGAAATTTGATTTGTTCATGTGTTGGTTTCTTCATAATTTTACAATGTAATTGATTGTTACCATGTGTTTCAACATTGACATATGAAATATTTTATTTTCCTCAGGTTTGAGCGTGCAAGACCTGTGAGCTGAAATGTGCCATCTCA